AAAAATATTAATCTGAAGGATAAAATTCGACACGAACTTATGAAATGACCTAATAATTAGGTGTCCCATCCTGTGTATATTGTACGCCGCAAAGAATGGTTATTTCTCAGCTGTTAACGAGGTAACGAGGAGCTGTTGACGAGGCAATATCTTCGACTCAATGTCGAGTAGATTTCCGTTCTTTCGCATCAAGATGTGCGACCACCTTGAACAAACACTGACAATAACGTTATTACGAGGCACGTGTAACACTGATTTACTGCTGGTAATCCAATCGTAGGTTTTAACATTGTCTCCTTGTTTCTCTAAGTATGGCAAACGCGTGACGAGATACGAATATACAAACAACTCGACTACTCGAAGAAAAAAAAAGAAAGAACTGTAAGTGAAACACATATTTTTGTTGTCTTTTTTAAATAGCCCCTCGTCATCGCGAAGATCAAAATCTCGTTAAAATTCGTTTTAAAAATTTTTATCTCAAGTATGTCGCTACAATTACACTGATACGCTTACGTACTCACGGCGCAGTAATGTATTCCATTATCACGAGTATTATTAATCGTTCTCCTTATTAATCCCTACATTATTGTGTCAACGAATGATTAAGAAAAAAAAAAAGTTCATCTGCACACAATGCTGAAAGGTAATTGTTTCGAAGCTAAGCTCGTTTCAACTTTCTGCACGATTTCTCTCCATTTGCATTTATGATCCACTTTTTACATACTTCAATTGCACTGCTTGTGAAGTTTGTATGCAAGAAAAGCGATTAACTGGAACAATGAAATTCTTTGTTACAAATGAACGACTCTAATTACTGAATCCTGCGAACTCACATTTTCCAAGAATGTTTTTCAGCAAAAAAAGAAGAACAGCTGGATTATTTATTTTCTAGATTAAAGTTGAATCGAATGTTCTAATATAAATAATTATCACTGTTTCAGAAAATTCAGTATTCGCGAGATTAAAGCGAATATATCGCCGGTGCAAGATTTCAATAATCAGATTATATAAAATGTGAAAGTGAAAATTCGCGGTTAGATTTTCCACGGGAGAGAAAATAAAATATTCGTTTAGATCAGAACCGCAGAAATCGATTTCGCGCCACCGGTTCGTTTCACAATGGAACAACACGACGAATACGTTTCGTCCGCGCGAAATTCGAAGAACATCCAGTTCGAAATTGTCGTTGTTCGATCGGTTTCGCATCCTATTGACCGTCAAACGTTAAACAGCGATGCAGAATCAATAGGGGAGAGAGGAGGAAGGCTGTTGTGCAATCGACGAGAAGTGATACAAGGTTGTCGCCAATTGTTTGCAAAAATGATTTAGGAGGCGGCCCCACGAGAAACTTGGAAGAAGAAACCCTGATAGTGTATCGAGAACGCGTCGTCGAGGAAACTATAAGGTGTGCCGTGTGAAACGAACCTTAGAACACGAAACGGCGCAAAAAAGCAAAAACAACCAAGAATTTTTCTATTTAAAATAGAAGTTGTAATACGAGTGGTTGGAAAACTGTGATATTCTCTTCAGATAGTGAAGTACAGAGGAAAAGAGATCTATCAGGATTTAATTCTATTGGAAATCTAAATCAAAAAGAAAAAGTCCCGGTGAAAGCTCTATTAAGTCAAATTTATCAAAACAACGAGCACATTACATCGTCAATTTCTTGTTTCAAGCAGCTCGATAAATTTGCTAAAAGATGAAAACGATCTCTACCTAAAGTACAACTTCAAAGAACATACACAAACGCAAAAATATTCAGCGAGACGGTAGATAACCTTAGCCCTTGTAATTTGTTACCATAAGTAGATCAGACATTTTGCAAAATGTAGCTTTTCAAATCGCTCCGGCAGATTAGCAGAGATAGGAAGAAAGAAGTTATCAGGCAAACCTCACGCCTGAATTCTACTCGAAACATTCTACTTGTTCAACGTTATCGTGCTATCTGAAAACACGCGTAAAAAGCAGAAAGAGCTACATTCTTTAACCTTTAAGAGATCCTAAATAATTCCGCATTGAATGTAATCTTCGTCGAAACGAGAACGAGACCGCCTAGATCTCTGAATGTCAATCACTCCTCGATCATGGGATCGATCTACGCGCAGGCATTCAAAGGCTCACGAGGCACGTTTAGGTGTAGCAATGGCAGAGGCCGAAGCTGTGGAACTACGTACAGCTACAGGCAACTTTTACCGAGTCCTTTTGTTTTTCTTTCTTCTTTTTAAGGCTCGATCGGTAACATGATTAACGCGTCTCGTACTTACGTTCACCGAGTGTTTCCTTTTCGCGAAATACATACACTACCGGCCAAAAGTTTGAAAATTGGGTTTGCTCCAATTCTTCGAAACTAGGAGCAGATATTGGGGTATCGCTGAATTAAAACATTTAGGGATCGTCGTTGCGTGAAACAGAACTTTATTTAACAGAGATTTTTGATGATACGTGACGTGCGGCGCGTGGTAGAATGGAGAATGAACGCGGAAATGGAGAAAATTAGGGCTGTTTAAGGGTTCTGGGAAGATGGACTTGTGACTATGCAGAAGAGTTGAGAGGAGAATTGGAAGGCGAAGAGTCCAGTACAAGTAATGGTGAAAGTGGGTGACTAGTTGTGAATACAGATAAAACTAAGGACTAAGAATGAAAATATTTGAAGGTGTAACAGAACGATAAAAAATTGTCAAAGTCGCTGACTTTTTTCTGGAAATTTTTGTGTAAATTGCAACGCTGATTCCAAACTTTTGGCCGGTAGTGTACGTGTCTAGCGTATACAAACTCGAACGCGGAAAACAGATTTGACGCAACCGATTACTGTACTATGGTGATCAGTTGCAGCCGCGCGTGACATTCAACATTTCGCGTTACGGCCAACTGCGAACGCGGAAACTTGATTGAAAACCGTGTCGACGGTTGGCCGATAAACAAAATGGACGCGTCAAGAAACTTCCCTACCGACCGCGCACGAGAGATCCAGATAAACGGATCGAGATTCTCAGATATACGAATTTTTCACCGGTTACGAAGTCAGATGGAAAATTTGTTTTTAATCTAGAGAAGATCCAGAAACTTCGGACAACCGCGAATAAATATCCTCGCCGCGATACGATCGTGTTTAGTATCACGTCGCTAATTGATTTCGTCGGCCAGGAAGTGAATTGAATGTTAGCAAGCAGATGATGACTCGTATTTAACTGCACGAATTTACTAACGATGAACAAATTTGAGAAAATATATCTTCCTCGAACAATTTTTTACGTTCTTGTGAAAGTGTCGCCAAATCGTCCTGGATCTCCGCGTTTCGGACATTTTTACGCCGATGTAAGTTTCCAAAATAACAATTTATGCAGACAATTTTACGTATCAAAGCTTGAAACAATCGTGAATGATTTTAGTTGTTTACACAAGGATTAATGGAAGGCGTAAGAATTTCGAAGAAATTATGCGCGCTGATATTTCACACAACTGGGTTACCATGTCAGAGGTCCAAAAAAAGAAGAAAAAATATGGAGCTTGCCAAGGATGCAAATGTCAAACGATCTGCATAAACGCGAAATTCTTCGGGTGAAACTGAAGTACACATCGCGGAGGGATTCGCGGACGAATTTTAAGGAGCTTTCGAAAATGTTGCGGTTACAATAACGGCAAAACGGCGTAACATCAATGCCTGGATAGCGTGTTTTATCACCGAGAATCTCGGGGCCTGCATTGAAATCACGGGATTTCTCTCGAAGAGGAGGAAGAAGAACGGTTGTTTTCGTTTATGTAAGAAGTTAGATCGAGTTGAGTTAATTAGTCGATACGTTAGCCGAGTAACGCGACCATCAACTATGAAACGCGTTCGCTATGAAAAAATCATCGAGAAACGGATGAACGATTTAGACAGCTTGGCATTTAAACACTTCGTTGCTCGTTAGATGCGGGCACTGTGTTTTGATACTGGAACGATCGTTATCTATTCTGGCGATTCATAACGTTCACCTTGTTTGCCGAGGACATCACACGCGAAGATACAGAGAAGCTCTTTCCTCGATAGGACAAATTTCAGGGCGATAAACGCGTGTTTGGAGGGACTGTAAACGTTCGAGCAAAGAAGTAGGTCTTCTCCGCTGTGTTGACGACACGAGATAATGCATCTGACAGTTTCGGAAACTTTTTTCGATAATCAACGGGGCGAAACGTCATTTACACGCCGATGTAATCTCGAATGGTAAGTGTACGTCACGATAAGTTTCTATCTCGGCGCCAAGCATTTGCCGCCAAATAAACAAAGCGGCTCGAAGGAAATAACATGGAACAGAAGCTCGTGAATCGAAGCGATCGAAGTTGTTTCCTCTCAATTTTTCTAGCTTTTTCAATTGAACACAGCTCTATCGTCGAACGATACACGTCTCTACTCGATTCACGATTGGATATTTATGTGATTATTTCGCACAGTCATTTCATTTTATCGCGGTCAGACAACAGACACGCTCGCGATGCAGGCTCTTGCAAACAATCCTAGCTGGAGCAATGACGAATGTGCATTCGCGGTGATAATATCCTAGCCAACCGATTACTTCAATTACTTCGGCGTATATATCTTTATCGACGATAAGGACGCTTTCATCCAGCACAACGAGATAATTTTTCGTTTCAGTTTCGCATCACGAAGTTTCATCAGTGAGACTAGTTTTTAGCGAGCTTACATAACTTTGTCGAAACTAACGACAAAGTTATAAGTATAATATCGGAGAGTGTAAGGTCAGAGTGGAAATTTAAATAAAAAAACAAGAGAGAGAGAGAGAGAGAGAAAGGAAAGTGATGCAGAATTAGATATTCTCTGTTTGAACTCGAAGAAGATCCTAATGATAAGGCGCCAGACGAAATGTTTAACACATCGAAAGCGTTATCACGATATTTCAGTTCGGTAATTCCCATAGAAGTCCGCGAGACTCGATTCCGCCAATTTTCCCATTCATCGTTAGCTACCTTTTCACGGAGAAAATGAACGAATGAAAACTCACTTAATAACAGTCTGCTTCATGCTGTTTGTCATATCTGGCTCCCTCTCCTCGATTTTCTTCCTTTCAATTCTTTTCCGGCGAAACTTTGTTTTTTCTTTCACTTACACATTACCACACACACTCTCTTTTATCTGGGTCCTTTGTAAACAGCTCGCCGCAACTGATTACTTGAATTTCTGGACGAACGGAACGCGATTCTTCGTGGATCCCGGAAGTTCGAACTTTACTCTCCGTCTTTCGATCAAATTTTCTCCTCTCTACTTCTTTGCGATTTTCCTATCGTTTCAAAGTTTCCGCTGATCTCTGTGTCCTCGCGAGACTCCTTTCTCCTTCCTTCCGGGGTCCGGATATGAATCGGTTTGGGCTGTTAGCGCCGGACTGAAGGAGCACGCGCGTCTCTCCTCGTATTTAAACGCCCTCTCCCTACTTCTCTCGCCCTCTCTTTCTCGTTCCCATTCGACCGCTCCGCGTTTCAGTGCTCTCCTCTTCCTTTTTCCGCACTCCCGGAAAGGTTCTGGCCGATTTGCCGAAAAATCGCGGGCGGATTCTCGACTCCGCGGACCACTTTTAGGAGAAACGAAATCGAGCCGCGTTTAATGATTCATTAAAAGAGCCGCGCGCGCGGAACGAGACACTCTCCTGCCGTACATGATCGCCGGGCTTATCAGTTAAGGGGATGGTGATGTTTGATATGACAGTGATGTTTTGAAATATTGAGAAATTGACTAGCTGTATTTGTAATGTTTCTTTTAATTTCTTCAGTGCTTGCTTTCGCCAGAAACGTGTATATACGTACATCGAATTTCGTTTCTTTTTGGCTTATCGATTTTTGTTTGAAACGAATCGTCGCCGGTCAACGTTTGCAGGTATAACTGAAATTTTGCTATTGTTTGAATACTTTGTGAAGCGATACGTTCCATGCCTTTTCTTCTTATTTTATTTAATTCGAAGTACAATTCTTCGTTCGTGAGAAAAAAATTTTGATTCATATTTTTTTTTGAATTGCAATTATTATTAGAAAACTGGCTATAACAGTAAGTAAGTAAAATGAGACTATAAAATATAGATAAATGGATATGTATTTAACATACAAGTCACATGGCGCTACACAAGGGTTGAACTTAAATTTTGAGTGATTCTATTTACATATTTGAGTTTAAAGTTTCGATAAAAATGTGCCAATCTACGGTTACCTTTTCTGTACGAAAGGCAAATTGTAAGTAACCTCCCGTGGAAGTTACTCTCCGTGTCACTGTAACACGCTAACCTAAATTACTCAATGCACGATTCTCTGTGAGAATTAATCGTAATTAATTCAATTAAAAATAAGACAAATAAGAAAGCTTTCTGTTCGATGCATATGTGGAGAATATACATATTAAATTATATTGTGTGCTAAAATACCGAGCCTGTTGTGCAACTTTTGAACCATTTCAATGATATGTAACAATTTTTTTATTTTTTCATTCTGTAACCTAATAAATCATAGTTGTACGTTTTTCGTATTTTTTCAAATACCGATAATTCCGTGCGTATACATATTAGACTATTATCGCGAATTGTTTTGTTCTACGAACATTTCACTACTGTAACATTAACTAGTGACCTAAATTTCTCTATGAAGTCAATTGAATGAAGTTCGATTCTTCTCCGTCGTCCCGAAGCTATTTAAACGTTTTCATTCGCTTATAAAATCCTCGTTTCGTTCTGCTGTTCGATGCCTCTAACGAAACGGCGATACTGCGCGCGTCAGTGATTCCCGAAGCATTGAAAAAATTGTCCTCTTCCTCTGCACAACCGGCACTGAGGTTACCATCTATCGTGGAAACATTTATTTCGACGTGCAACGAGTATGCACATGATCGTGCAACGAAGCTTGAATGAAAATACGATGGTTCAGCATGAATTATCATTTAATCGTAATAGTTTGTCAGAACTTTAGCTATTGCTGATATTTTCTGTAGCTCAAGCATTCATATTTCTCTGCTATTAATTTATTATACTTCGTAACTTCTAATTTATTTTATTCGTACGATTTTATACCTAAATTTTCAATTTTGATACTTACCAATTTTCAAGTATATAATTTCGATTGTTTAATTTGAAGATGTTCAATTTCTGAATTCACTGTATTAATCAAGATAATGATAACACGTCAAGCAGTACGATAAATAGAGATGTATAAAAAAAAATGGATATTTTCAATCCATATGATTCAGGTTGATAAAGTGGATCTCCAAGACAAGAACTGTACGCACGACATTAAAGAGAGAACTAGATCCAACTGGTTAACGACGAACAATAGATGAACGATAACAATTCATTAGCTTGAATCGTCCTCCAAACAAATCAATTCTGAAGGAAAAACAGATAACACTCGTGAAATCTTTATGAAGTAACCTTTGAGTAACTAATGCCCGTATTAGATTTGTCTGATTATTCTTGGATACGTTTCGTATCTCGAAACGAAACGAAAATTTTTCACCCTGCAAATCAATATCAAACTCGACAGTTTCGAATTCGAAATGACTTTTTCTCTTCGAACTGTCGTCACATTAACCCTATACAATCCAGAGAGATTATAATTCAGTCAGATTAACCCATTTTTTTCTTCGTTCGTAGGAAACAAAATTACAGTTAATTACAACTTCAATTTTAAGGGGAGAAGAATTAACAATAATAAAGAAATTCACGATGCAGTAGTGTAACAATAAATAAATAAGATGTGATTAAAAAAATGATTTTGCCAAGATTTTTCAAAAATGTAACCACGAGAGATTCCCACACGATCGTTCGTTTCGAGCGGGAAAGAGCTGCTATCAATTTCTTTCTGAAGTTACGCTTACGCTGGGTATCCTCGGCGAGATTCATTTATTAACGTCTACTGTCTAGCTAGGTGGAAAGTGCGATGCGTAAGTTTGGCCGAGTTTCCGAAAGTTATAGAAACCGACGCCGGTCTTCTAGCTCTGTGCTTCAAAACTATTGGGCGCAAACTTTAAAACTACTGTCCCAGAAACGGCTCCGGAACTCTGTAGGGCTTCAACCTACATAGGGTGAACATACAGTTACGGGTCGCATCGTTATAGACATCAGCCTGCATTTTAGCAGACAACCGAACGAGCGAAACGTATGATCGACCGGTTAAGCAACGTGATTCTTCTCTTTAGCAGCTCAGCTTGCCTCCTTAATTCGTCGAACTTCGACGACAAATATTTTATCGTCGGTTTACACTTGAAGCCATGGGTTTTTCTTTTCTGTTATTTCGTTCGGAGTATTTTCAAAATATGAAAATTAATGGGTTGAATCGAAAAATTGAAGAATTCAGGGGAATAACGATCGTAGTCGACTCAAAATTAAAATAGAGGTTTTAGCATCGTGTGTTGGAGATTAGGGGAAGTTATCAAACAGTTAAGTATAGCGAGAGGAAGAAATTAAGGGTCGTAGAATTTTTGCCTCGAAGAAGAACGATAAATTTCTTCAGTGGAAGAATGATCGAAGTCCAGGTAGACGATTTTCAGGGACAAATAAATAAATAAATTCATCCCAGGGAAGACTAATCAGAGTCCATACTCGTTCTTATTGAAATAACCTTAGATCAATGACCAAATTATAAAAATTACTTTTATTTTCGTAAAATTTATGGACATTTGCAGTTCTTAAGATTTTAGAAGATTCAGAAGACCCGTTATAAAAAGGACAAATATTAAATTTTGGATCGTATACAGTAGACGGAGTTTACAAAGCCTGTTTTTCAAATACAGGTATTTCCCGCCTCAACGAATTATGTAGTTGGTTCCTGACGATCGTTCGTAAATCGTGAATTCGTATAGCTGGCTCTAACTGATCATTACGTCATTACATGCTGCGTGATTCCCCGTACAATTCAAAATAAAAATTCCCCTCCAAAAAATTCGTAAAGTGAGAACTACCTGTTCCGAAAATTCTACATTTTGCGACTATAATCGCAAAATACCTATTTACGTAATCCTTACGAACCTGATCTGAGATCCCTAAACTTCCTGGGGCCTCGAATCTATGATGGCAGAAAGATAAAATATAACCTATGATCGTAAAAAGGCCCAAGAATAAATTTCTTTTGGTCAGCTGGGGTCAAGTACAGTCTTTCGTACCCTTGCCCAGCAATCTGTCAACGATGAAAATGCTATTGATCCAGTTCGTCACCCCCTGTTAGTGTTTTATCGCTCTAACACCTGTTGGTATCCTACTCTGTTCGAAAAGTTGGAAGATAAATTTTGTTTTTCGATTATCACACCTTGAGAAATCATTCACCGCGTTGTAATATACGTAAGAACTACTCTCTCTCTCTGGAGAGTATAAACTCTCTGAAAAGTAAATCCAAATTGTTCAACCACTAAGATAATAAATCTGTATCTTACAATTACTCCTTTCTTGCGTGTATCACGCAGGTGTCATTAGTGGAGATTGGAAAATAGAGCGCGTCAAGAAACAGCGAGAGAAAAACTCACATTGCTCATACTCCACGTTACGATTGTACGTAGAAAAAGAAATTGAAAATAATCGAACGTGTCATTCTACTCTACCAGTTTCACGTCTCTCGATGATTCTCAAAACAAGACTAAATAGCAAAACATCAATCATGCAAGAAGGAAAATACGAAGAAGTTACCAGGTAAGTAAGATACTCGAGATTATAAGATACTAAAAATTTAAAGAAAAAAAGAAAAAAATACAAGGGTATAGAAAATTATCGTAGAAAATTTCCATCGAAACGACTGAACTGCGCAATATGTACTGTCTATTTTATCGTAGCATTGTTATGCCAAATATTTATCAAGCGTCAAAGATAACTTCCAAGGCAACAACGATTTCATTCCCACGATTGTACCTGCAGATCTATCCGGCCTTCACCTTCTTTTTCCCGATTCGCAGAAACTATTCTTCATGACGTGGAACCCGCGCCGCAAACTCACAGCGCTCGCTCTATCATCTCCAAGCACAATCCTACTAAATCACGCGTTAACCCGAAGAAATATTTGCGTTAACCCGAATTACCCGCGTGTTGTTCTTTAACACACACGAGGAGAGACCTTAATAAAAGTTCGTCCCCGTAAAAGGGACCCGGGCGCACTTCTTGATCCTATAAATCTCACCAGTGAACCCCGTCGCCGATCGACGGCGGCGAGTAACGGTTCAAAATTAAATTCTCCTTTGCGTCAGGTTTTATGATTCAATGAAAATCGCCTATCAGACTGTGCACAACCGGTTACGTTATATTGCTCGATACCGATCGGACCGCTACTCGCAACAGAAAACAACATCGTTACGGTAACAGGCCTCAATCGAGGGCACCGGGCAATAATAAGCCTTCTTTCAGAGCAATTCATCG